GACCGGACATGGATCTTCTTCTATTTTACCAAACTCAAAAATATTTCTTCTTTGTGTTTTACAAAACCCAGAAATAGCAAACCCAAAGATTTAAAAAATCAATTTGACATCAAAATTTAAAATCAATCTAAGAAGAAAGAAAGAAAGAAGCGGCATACGGAAGAATTAGGGAGAAAAAATAAAAAAGAAAGAAAATTGGGAAAAAAGAGATAGAGAAAGAAGAAAGAAAAACCTGTTTGCTTCTGGTTGCAACGGCGTATCGAAGAATTGGAGAGAAAAAATAAAGAAGAAAGAAAATTGGGAAAAAAGAAATAGAAAAAGAAAAAAAAAATGGAGAAAAAAAAAATGGTGTCCAATCCTTATTCTTCTTCTTCTTTTCCTTCTCTTCTTTCTTCTCTTTATTTTCTTTCGCTTCTGCCCATCATTTTCTTTCTATTCTTATTCTTTTACAATTCTTCATTCTTCAAAGAAGAACGGGAGATGAAGAAGAAGAAACAAAATTGGGGGAAAAAGAATAAAAGAAAGAACCGGGTGGAACTGCTACGACGTGAAAAAAAATTAGAGAAGAAGAAAAAAAAATTGAGAAAAAAGATGTGAAAAGAAGAATTTGGGAAAGAAAAGAAGATGGAAGAAAGAAGTTGGGGAGAAGAGAAGAAGAATGAACCGAAGAAGAAATAATAGAAGAAGAGAGAGAAATAAATTAAAAAATATATAAGTAAGGGTATAACTGTCAAATTTGATAAAATTTAACGTCTGTTAGTCAAATTTAAAGAGGGGGGAGAGTGAGCAACATTTTGGAAAGCACAAGTAGCTTTTTTGGAATTTTAGAACCACGGGGGGTTTTCAGCGAATTCGTAAAACCACATGGGGATTTTTTTGCTATTTTGTCTAATTTTTTAAAATTATTATACCTAATGTATGTATATTTATATAATAAAAATATATTATTTATTTATTTATCTTATTTTTATGAATCAATATTTGATTGTTTTTAGATTTTTTTTGGTGCTTTTAATGCTATTTGTTTTAGTATTCGGTTGTTAAAAAAATATTTATTATTATATATTTTAAAAAAAATGGATTTGCCGGGTTGGCCCCGAACCCTCCGGGTTCGGGCCGGGGCGGGTCCTGGGGCTGGGTGGAAGTGGGGTGGGGCGGGTCTTGGAGCCTAATATTTTCTAGCGGGGCGGGTCTCGGGGCCTACAGAACCCGTCCCGAACCCGCCCCGTTGACATCCCTACCTAGATCCAACCTCACAAGCATGGGACATCTGATGCTCGGCAGCAAGGCCAATATAGTCGACACAATTCCGTAAGACGACCGATCACAACTAAGGTTATTGACTTATTGCGATAGACTATGTTGCGTCAAATGATAACCTATTGGATCTGCTAACCAAAGGGTTAAACCGTAAGCTAGTATACAAGCTGACTAGAGGAGCCTGCTGAAATATAAATTTTATAAAGGAAAATTCAACTTAGAATAGTGACAGAGTAGGAAGGATAACAAATAATTGTTTTAATGATCACTAAGTGTTGTATTACATAAAAACTTAGAAAGATCACCTATGTGAGAGATAAGTGAGACCCGCTTCAGAGGAGAATTGTTCATGCTCAATTTCTTAGAAACTTTCGCAGAATTAGGACGGGTTTCATGGCCAAAATGGACCAAACAATGAGAACCAAACTAGACACATGAATTCTGTGTCGGTATGTAGTCCATTTACTAGAAAATTGAATAGTTCAAGGAAAACGTGTTCACTGGACAATCCTACTTATCCTATGCAGTATTCATATACATTTGTTTTGATCGAGTCATCGTTTTCCTCTTTCATGTGGGGCACTGTTGGATATTTAATTAAATAGGTGAAAGAAGAAATTATTTGTCCCACATTTTATTTGATTAATTTATTTTAACTTAAATAAATAAATAATCAGATAAAATAATTTGTTACAACTTAATACAACGTGCAGAAGTTGGCAACTTTTTCATCTTCACGTTCACTTAATTAAATAAAAAATAATTTGAATATTATATTTTTCCTCCATTTTGATATATACATAAAGCTTCTTCCTTCAAAATCTTAGAAATTTCTTTGCAAATTTTTTTCCGAAAGTTTTCTAATTTGATTTGCGGAATTTATTATTCCGTTAATAATTCGTTTTATCCTGGAAGACGGTCGGTGGAGGGCCAAATTCGCTTCAAGGAAATTGTGTTCTACGCAAGGCTCGAATTTGATTACGCATCTATTTGATTTTGTGTTTTTAGATTTTTCCATATATCAAATTTCGTCCAAAACTATTTTCCAACAAAAACTGAGCACAAAGCCTTGCTACTTGCACTACATTTCTTAGCTATGAAGGGAGTCTTTGTTGTTCATGCACGAGGCGACTCACAATTGTCATCCGGCAAGCTCTCGACAAATTTAGGGTCCGAGAACCTCATCTCATCAGTATGGCCCTCCCATAGCAGTTCTATGGGCCACCGTGGAAGAGATTCCCCAAGAAGAAAAGAACAAGGCGAACAACCTTGCGCAACAAGTGTTCGGTTTCAAAGCAAGGAAAGAGTTTGTTCGGCTATATTTTTTTGTACAATATTTTAAAAACATAAAGTAGTCTCATAAACTTTTTAAATTAAGAGGAAAAAGAATGCAATAATGTTTAAAAATACGAGGAATTTCATGCAATTTTAAAAAAATTTGTACAATATTTTTTAAAATACGGAAGAGCCTCATGCAAATTTCACATCATAAAATAGTATAATACAAAATTTTCAGAGCTTTTAACTTATCGAAGAGTTTTTAGTTGTTTGACCAGTAAACGAGCTAATTTTGGTGTTTGGTAAATTACCGTTTCCAATTAGTTTATTGGATCCAAAAAACTAATTTTGAAAAAATTGTATATCTCATTATTTCATATTAACTTTTTCATTTTAATTTTAATTTTAATTTTTTATTTACCCTTAAAATTAATTAATTCTTTCGCTTATATTAAATATATATTTTTATTACACTATATAATAAATATATTTTTTACTAATAACTTATAAATTCATATTTATAAATTTAAAATAATTATTTTTTTATATGTCAATTATCTTATTGATAATTTTTATTTATTTTTTTAATAAAGATAATATAAAAATATTAATATTATTGATTATTTATATAGTATTTTTATCACATAATATTTTATTAAAAATGAATATATTTATTTAAAATTATAAATTTAGTGTAAACATATATTAATTTAAAATTAATTTAATAAAAATATATGTACTAATAATTTTTGTTCTGTTATATTCACTATTTTTAATGAAAAATAATATATATTTTTCAATTGCTTTAATTCTTTAATAAATATTTTAAAAATAATAACAATAAATATCTTAATTAAAAAAATAATTTTTAAAATTAATAATAAAATTAAAAAAAAATTCATTCATCAAAAAAAAAAAAAAAACTCAACTAAATATATTGAAAATAATATATAAAATATCTGTCATTTACTTATAAACAACTAATATCTAACCGCTATTTTACCAAACACTTTAATACAAACAACTAATCGAATCAACTAATCAAAGCTAATTGCTAACAACTATCAATTAATCAAACACAACCATAATATCACCCACTCAAATCACTTTATTTTCATCTCTCTCTATTAAAAAGGACAAATATTTTTTTTTTTACATTTAAAATTTCACATCTTTTATAAAATTAGTTTATATTAATTAGAAAATAATAAACATATTTTTTTTATTTACTTGTATTATTATAAATTTTATTCTCTACATATTTATTTTATTGCAATATAAATTTTAAAGTATTTAAATACATATTTAAATTTTTTAATTATATATATTAATTTAAAATTATCAATATTATTAATCACATAAAAAGATAAAAAAATAATATCATAATTCATTATTATTAACTAATTAAATATTATTACCTAAAATACATAATCCCTAATAAATGGTCTGACCGGGATGGGCTGAGGTAGTATTTTCTAAGAAACAAAAACAAAATGTAGGGTGTTTCTTTTGAGTGGTTTGGAGAAATTTTGGTTTGAGTTTGGATTGAATTTGAATTTTAGGATGAATTTGATTTATTGTGTTTCTTTATAATTATAGGTTAATTGGTTTGAATTTTAAAAGTTTTAATATATATTGATTTGATATGTATTAATTATATTAGATTAAATAAATTTAATTTATTATTATTAATAATAATATTTTTTAATTTATAATATATTATTTTAATTATAAATATATTAAAAAAACCGATTTTGCTACTAAGCAAACCACTTCCTATATTATTTTAATCATACACCGGGCAAAATACTTTCTTAGAGAATAATTGAAAAAAAAAACGTGGATAAAAACCGATTTTGCTTGCATATATCTTCAAAAATATTTTCCACTGTATAAAAAAAATTACATGTAATTCAACTATTATCTTTCACATAAAATCTGCTATGCAAATAATATTTTTTAATCAAAATAATACATCTAACCTCTAAAGCATATTTTTCATTCACATTTTTATTATTTTAAAAACAAGCCTAAATGTCCGAAAATACAAACAAGCAGATCGTTTTTTAGTTTTCCAACTTCCGACCCAAGAAAAATGTGCGAGCATTCATGACACAGATAGAAACACAATAAAAAACTACCACCCATTGGGTGATACTAAGATGATGAACACGGACCTCTAGAAACCTTGTTGATTCGATCGAGCTAAATACCATCTTTCAACAAATAAATTCATTTCGGCATGTAGGTTCCAATGAGTATAGTTGTTCGACAGTCTCTCAAGTTTAAAAAGAGAAGACTCAAATCTATTCTAATTGAATTTTTCCATAATCCTGTTTCTACTGCATTTGAGGCATAACACAGCACGATCACAAATAGTAAAGACAACGTGCAAGCAAGCAAACAAGGACTAAAAAAGTAAAGCACTCATTGTTTTGCTCCAATACACAAATAACTTATGAAAGCCACACTATAAATCTGTAATGGTATATAACATAGCAAAAAAGTAAGTTTGTATACACAACAGTTTCATCATCATAATCATAAACACAACAAATTGCTATGCAAAAACCCAAAATTCCAGCAAAAAAACCAACCAGTTATCAAGGAGTCCCCATCATCCATCTATATCTGTAGCTGTGTTTGGTAGCGGGAAAGCTATTTACATAGTTGCCATAGTTTCTTTCTTCTTCTATTTTTCTAATAATCCTCTCTACCCGAAAACGTTTAGAAAGAAACAGCAGTAAGGCTGAATACATATGCTGCCCTGCAGTATTGAGCAACCTGGATAGGGTACTTACTATGTGCTTCTATCTCCATGATGTACCACGGGTTGTAAAAAAGCTGTAATCAGGGTGATTGACTTGCAACACACGAAGCCAGTTGTCAGCATCTTGCAAGAGAGAGCTCATCTTCTGGCCTTCTTGTACTCCATTTTGATGATTCCAGTCGGAGACTTTGAATTTGTATGGAACAAGCCCAAATGTTGGTAGTGAAAGCTTGCTTCCACAATCACGACCCCCATCACTACCTGCAGGTGTGTTAAAGTTTTAACCCGACAATTCGAATTCCAGTATCCTATAATAAGAATTATAATACATGCAACAGCAATTCAGCATTGTGCTTGACTGAGAACTGCAGTTTGATCAGCCTCCTGTACGCAATTGCGCTGAAAGCACCAAAGAGCATGCCAGAACAAAACAAAGAAGCTGATAACACAAGTAAGAAAGTGACTCACTCATTATAGGTTTTGCTAGGGAATGATAAGTTAAAAAACAGGTATCAACATTTTGCAGAGTTGGACCTACGGGAATCCTATATATAGGGTACCTGCATAATAAAGTAGCAACACATTTAAATTCAGACTGAAATAAGATGAGGCCATTACCATCTTCATAGTAATAAAAGGCTACCAGGAGATAGAAATCCAGCTTGCTGGAGTCAGGTCACAACTCCGGTGTGTTTTTAGCAATGGAAAATGAGAGGCAAGAATTGATATCTGATGAAAATATGAAAGGTGGAATAAATAAACAAACAAATAAATAAAAATCACAGCACCAATTCATTGGTTAGGAAAATGGTAGACTTGCCTTGTCAGCTAATGGTTCACGATGAAATGGAAGTTCCCTTTCAAAGTATTCAAAGAGTAGTTCAGTGTGATTGCTAGTACCGGTCCCTCTCTCAGGTCTGCATTCATTTTCACCATCACTGCCGGATGAATTGGCATCGCTGTCTTCTCCTGGTCTTCTGTTATAAATTGAAACCACAGAAGCTGAGATGGATATTGGGATCAATGAAGGTATGAACACACACAAGCATCCTGATATGATACCTTATGTATATCATCACCACAAATAAAGTTACAGAATATCCATCTTAATAAGAATATCAAACTGTTTTTAACATATCATTGTTAATTCAAATCATACATGTCATTGCTTGGATGATGCATTTGAAAATACTGCCTTATCTCAAATAAAACATTTCAGCTTGAATATGAAGAGAAACTGTAAGTATATCATGACACCACCCCAACCCTGGTCAGCTGCAGATACCATCTATGCACGCACATATTTTCTCCAGGGAAGAACAAAACAAATAGCATAGTAATACTTTCTCCAGCAGAAATGCAGACTCGAAATGATTTCATGTGGCCTAAATTTGTAATAATGAAGAAGAGAACAAAAAAATGGATTATGCTCACCTCTCCACAACATTCCTTGAAGGATCTACATAAAGTTGAATGCCGGAGAGAAATGGCACATAATATTGGACAACAGAATCAGTTCCATTCAAGACTAAAGGAACTCCAGCTCCGTAAACACTCCACTCTCTGAAAGACTCCCATAGGTCACCAAGAATGAAGAAGTATGGATGAAACTCATGATTACAATTTCTCCAAGAATGCACACTTGTCTGCAGATCACCAAAGATGCACTCAATTAAAACTCATAAATTTACTTCATAACCAACCTCTTAACGAAAAATACACTTGAAAGTTGGTGGCACATGGTTTAAGCAATAATCAGCTATGCTGATGATTGGCCACAAAAGTACTAGGCGTTTAAGCTAAGATTATCGTTGCTAGGCTATAAAAAAATATTTGATAAGGTCAACATTCTACATAGGCTGATTTGTGGCAACGACAGACTGGTTGGCGGGAGTGAAAAAGGCTAACAATATGCTACTACAAAATAATAGAGATGCCAGATAGACGTTACAAGGAAACACCAGGATCTCTGGCCAAATAAATAACACAAAAAAACAACCGACAACAACTTTCCAATTAATATTCATCACCAACCTCAGTCGACGCAAACCAGAATTGAAAATGAAAAGGAAATCCCCAACCAAAAAAATAGAAAAGTAAAGAATAAATATTAAAAGTTATCAAACGGTAATTCCACTTAATACACCAGAATAGAATGTACAAAAATCCCAATTACAATGAGCTACGAAAATCAAATTGAAATTAGAAAAACATGCAGACTAAAGAGTGGGAAAGTACCCCAATTCACTTTCTGCTACTAATTCTCTACCCACTTATAACAAGAAATAGAATAACTGACAGGAAACGCGTGGAGAATAAAAAACAAGTAAGCCATTCAAACCCTTTAAAAATAATTAAAAAAAAAAAATCACCACTGATTGAAAGATACATAAAGAACACCGTTTACCCAAGGAAAATGCTGAGCCGATACAGACGGTGTTGTGTGCTCCAAGAATCGATCCAAATTTGAATCCGACTCTAATCCCCTTCTTTCTAACGATGATACAGACGAAGACTTTGACTTTTGCTGCTTCTGCTGCTGTTGCTGCTGCTGCTTGTATCTTCTCATCGCTGGTGGAGTGTAGTACAATCTCTCATCCCCCACCTTCCTCCTCGAAGTCATTCTTGCAAATCCCAAAATCTGATGAATTGATCAGTATGCGCGTACGCAAGCTGTAAACGATACAAGATTCCCCAAGCTTAAGAGCTGCAGTTTCGGGAAATTGGGGCGTTGAGAAGGGTTTACAAGCAAGGCATGGAATGTAGGGATTGCTTGTATTGATTAGGGTTTTGAACAGTGAGGTTTTGATTGAGTTCTTTTCTCCGTTTGAGAATTTTGAAGTCAAATATGATATTAAAAAAATTGCAAAATTGCTCATAATTTTTTTGTGTTTCGAAATTCAATTTAAAATTTTTTACTATTTTAAAAATTGCACGATGTTCTCTTATATTATAAAAAATATTGCATGAAATCTTTGTGGTTTTTAAACTCAGCATAAATCCTCATTTTACTTTAAAAAAATTGCATGACACTCACTTAATACTTTAAAAAATATTGCCATACAGAACATATAGATAGGAAATCATCATCACACGAGGAAAGTTTCATGGTGATGAAGTTTAATGCAAATGCAATTTTTAAAGTATAAGGAGATTTTACGCTAAATTTCGAAGGCTACACGGAAGTTATAAGCAATTTTACCTATTAAAAAATTATACAAAGATGTGCATAGGTTATAGTTAGTAGGTGTGTTCTTTTTATCAAAACTTTTGAACATATAATTTTTAAAAAACTTAATATATTATATACATGAATTATTTTTGTATTATATATATAATTTTGAAATCATTTTTAAATTAAAATATAAAATAAATACACAATTTTAATAAGGGAAAAAATTAAATCAATTTTGTCCCAATATAACTAAAATTTATCAATTTTAATCCCAATATAAAAAAACTCATCAATTTTAATGATATTATAAACAATTTCAATTAATTTTGTGTCATTATAAACAGCTTCTTTTTAAAAATACATCATATTAAAAATGTTTTTTATATAAAAATAATATATTAAAATTTAATTTTTTATTATTTTTAAAATTTCAAAATTATACAAAATTCTTTATCTAAATAAGTAGCTCTCAAAATATGAGTTTATTTAATTAGAAATTTTAGATTTGTTAATATTGTCTTTTTACATGATATAATATTTTATAAATATTATAAAAATGCAAATTATATAAATATTTTATTCACCATATTTTTGAAATTTTTACAAATTTAAATTTTTTTGACATATCCCAAAAATACAATGTTTTAAATAATCAATAGCTCATACAATTTTTAAAACATATATTATTATTTAATTTATATCACTAATATTATTATGACGGAAGCTAGGGAGTCCGTCTGCATCCACTTGATGAAGGAAGGAGATCTGTTGGAAGTAGTGTCCGCTTGATCGAAAAGGAAACTGCCATCATCGCCAAAGCATCCGCGATGCGGTTTCCCTCCTTATATGTGTGAAATCTGTCAAGTCACATCCCGTACTCACACATGAAGAAGAATGAGGCATCATTGAAGTGTACAATGGCTCGACTCGGAGGAGATCAAAGATATACATGTCGTTGAGTCTGTCTCAATCCATAATGGCACCAATTATCAAGCAATCGTTATCTTTACTCCAGTCTGGATTGGCGTAAACACTGCCAAAGTGTTCGTCGCATGTGGGATCGGAATCCGAAAAGCTACAAGCACTGCATCAGCCGAATCCCGAATCGAAGGACGGGGAACTGGAGGGGAGTATCGGAACTCGAGCCCGTCAGTAATATGAAAATCACCCTTCTAATATTATTGTAGAAGAATCCTAGCACGCTATAGAGTCTGTAAGTCTGAATGAATCTTCCAGATGATCCGCCCGGAAGAAGCGCAAATCCCTCTATGCTTTGCATCATTGTGAGCAATTCAAATCAAACATAGTATTAACAATGGAACATACGTTATAACACTCTGAGAATGCGCCGATGAAAGTCTCCACAAAGATAATAGATGCGGAGTATGTGTCTCTGAAAATGATAGCCTGTTAAAATAAATAATTGAAATTATCTATTTTAATCATAAGAATACGTACACATTTATAGTGATATACAAATCGCCTAAATAAGACAAAAATCATACGAATATCTTAAATAAGACAACTAATATAAATATAATATATTACTTCTAAATATATTTTAATACTCCTCCTCAAACTCAAGATATGATCGAACAAACTTGAGTTTGTCAGAAGTGACCGAAAAAGATATGGCCGAGATCTTCCACGAACGAACTTGAATTTTCCAAGATTGACCGAAAGTATTGTAGCTGTCCACTAGATCATAGTCAGAATCAATACTCAATACCGTTAGAGATGGAAACAAGACTCACTCATTCACAATGGAACTAGAGTCGAAAACAAGACTCGCTCGCTCACAATAGAGCTAGGTTTTTTTTAAAAAAAAATAGCTGCGCCCAAATGGGCTGCCTACGTACCCGAATGGGATCAAACCATACGTAGTTTTAGATACAAGCTATACAGTCTCAATAAAGCAAACAGACAAGACCAGCTAATAGTAAGTACCTAGCCTAAAGCAGTATGCCTAAGGCATAAATCAAATACTAAGTGATCAAGTCTATGTAATAGCAATCAATGCTAAATCGAGAATCAAAGAATAGGGCGAAGCCTGCTACCTGAAACGGAAGGTCGGGAGACTGTCAGCATCTGCTCGAAGGAGGGCTCTAATCTATGGAGGAATATCTGATGGGAGAAGCATCGTCTCCATCGGGAGAGAAACCGCCAAAGTCGCTAAGGCATCTGCTACGCGGTTCCCCTCTCGATATATATGAGATATCCTCCAAGTCAAATCCCTAAGCCGTAATCGAATACACATAAGGCATCGCTGGAGAGTCCAGTGGCTTGTCTCGGAGGAGATCAGAGATATACATACCGTCGAGTCTGTCTCGATCCACAACAGCATCAATCCACGATCAATCGCAATCCCTACTCCAGTCTGAATCACTGTCAGCTCTGCCAAAGTGTTCGTCGCGTACGGAATCAGAGTCTGAAATGCAATAAGTACTGCTCCGGCTGAATCTCGAATAATGCCAGCCGCTCATGCTGCTTCAGGATTTCCAAGCGAAGCACCATCGGTATTAAGCTTGAACTATCCTAGAGAGGGCGTCTCCCATCGCACCATAATCGGGGGCCGAGAAATCGAAGGGGGGTATCGAAACCCAAGGCCCTCTGCTATATGAATGTCACCCGCCCAATGTCGTCGTAAAAGAATCCTAGCTCGCCAAAGAGTCTGCAGATGTGTATAAATCCGCCAGATGATCCTCTCGGAAAAAACACGAAGCCCCCTGTGCTTTGCGTCATTCCAAGCGATCCAAATGAACCAAAATATCAACAACGGAACATACGCCCTGATACTCTGAGAGTGCGCTGAAGAGAGCCTCCACGAAGACACAAGTAGATGCAGTGTATATATCTCTGGCAAAGATAGTCTGAAAAGCGCCGCGAAGTGCTCCCACACTCGTCGCGCATTCCTACTCCGACGATGTCTGTCTTCCTGTGGAGATTATTTCGCCGACGGATACCGACAGATAAGATCCTCCAGTACTATGGTGTCTCGATAGTTTCACGATGTCATTGTTGAGGTTTAGGGTTTAGGGTTTTTTTAAAAAAAACTATATAGCAATTGCTTGCGAGCGAAGGCGGTTGTCGTTTGTGGTACATGCCTTAGGGTTTAGGGTTTAGGGTTTTTTTTCTTTAGAAAACGGAAATTTTATAAAGATAAAAGAGGAGATTACAAGATCAGGTTGAACAGCGCTACAAACCTAATTAGAACTAAGAAGCTCCCTATCACCATCTCTCATATAGAAGATAGATGCGCGTTGACGGCGCTCCCGGACTATCGAGTGAAACATCCGGGAGTTCCTCTCCCCATCGACCGCCCATCGACAGGCGGCCTTCTGCCGCCAGAATGCCTCCTCCAGCGCAATGGCATGCGTCAAGGCTGCCGCACTATGCTGTCGGCGCAACAAAGTAGCCTCCGAAGGATCTCTTTCATACTCGGCCTCACACTCCGTAGCCTCCCTCTCGGCCTCCGCCAAGATATGGAATACATCACCAAAAACATGACGATTCCACCACCTCAATATCCGCTTGAGCCTCCGTAGCTTCAAGCGTAGGTTGAGAAGCCCCGACACCCCCGTCGGAACCTCCCAACTCTCTCGGACTCTATCCATAAATGAGTGATGGTGAATCCACATGCTTTGGAATCGAAATGCTGACGAAACCCGATGTCAGTCATGTGAGACCCGAACCAGAAGGGGCGCATGATCAGAACACATCCGCAGGAGGTGCCGAACCCGCGTGGACTCCGCAAACTCCTCCCACAAACGGCTATACAGTATCCGATCCAGGCGCTTCCACACCCGCCGTTTCGTCCAAGTAAACTGAGGACCCTAAAAACCGGCATCTACCAGTCCCGCATCAAGGGAAGCTCCCGAAATATCCTGAATCGATCACAGTCGCGGCCGTCCTGGGCCCTCCCTATCTGAAATATCTGCGATGGCATTAAAGTCGCCACCGACTATCCAAGGAACGCCAACAGCGGAGGCTGCAGTCTCCTAAAAAAAACTCCATATCTCCCAACGCCTTACCACACTACATCTCCCATAAACCCCTGTCAGCAGGGTTTAGGGTTTTCGGGTTTTTTTTTTTGGAAAATATAGATTTTATAAACTCTGAAGGAGAATTACATGATCAGGAAGTGCAACGCAACAACCTAATCAACAGAAAAAGGAATGAACCCAAAGAAATATACAAAAATGGGTTCCCCAACAAAAACATACAGCATGAGAGAGGCGAGCGGAGGGCTCTGTCGGGAATGGGAGACATGGAACGCCAAGCCTTGGCGCGAAGGAGGCGGCCGAACAGACAGGGATGGGAAAAGGACCGACCAGAAAGCATTCGGCTGATGGCCCGACTAGGGGCGGGAAGCAATCGGCAGCTGCGGGTCGGCTAATGGCACGACAGGGAAGGGGACCGACCAACCAGCAGTCGGTTGAAGGCGCCCGACTTCAAGGCAGGTGCCCGACCTCAAATCAGGCTGATGGCGCCCGATAAAAAAACAGGCGCCCGACTTCAAAGCAGGCTGATGGCGCCCGACTTCAGAGCAGCAGGAGCGGGTCGGCTGGTGGATTGCCAGGGCGGATGACGACAGGGAAGGGAACCGACCAACCAGCAGTCGGCTGAAGGCGCCCGACTTCAAAGCAGGCGCCCGACATCAAATCAGGCTAATGGCGCACGACAAAAAAGCAGGTGCCCGACTTCAAAGCAGGTTGATGGCGCCCGAGTTCAAAGGCGGCGCCCGACTTTAGAGCAAGCTGATGGCGCCCGACTTCAAAGCAGGCGACCAACTTCAAAGCAGGCTGATGGTGCCCGACTTCAAGGAAAGCAGGCGGATCCCGACTTCAAAACGGCCGCCCGACTTCGAAGCGGGCTGATGGCGCCCGACTTCAGAGCAGACGCCCGACTTCAAAGCAAGCATCCCCGACCTGCAATGCGACACCCGAAAGAGACTGCGGCTGCGGGGCAGGATGGAAGCGGACGGCTGCTGGGCGGATGGTGGAGCGCCAAGGCAGAGGCCTGCTCGGACGGGGAACAGGGACTGACCCACCATCAGACGGCTGACTTGAAATCGGCTGATGGCGCCCGACTTCAAAGCATTCTGATGGCGCCCGACTTCAAAGCAAGCGCCCGGCTTGAAAGCAGGCAAAAGGCGCCCGACTTCAAAGCAGACAACGCCCGACTTCAAAGCGACGCCCGAACACAAGCAAGCGCCCGACAACAAAGCCGTCGCCCGACAAAAATGAAGGCAGCCCGACTTCAAAGCAGGTGAAGACCGACATAAAAAACAGGCGCCCGACTGCAAAACAGTCGACGCCTGACTTCAATGCAGGCGATGCCCGACTTTAAAGCAGGCGCCCGACTCCATTTTTTTTAAATAAAATTATTTAGTATGACCAAACCAAAAGTTGGGGTATCCAATTTTATCAACATGAATAAGGCCGCGGAGCTTACCTGTGACATTGTGTGGTTCAATAATACACGACGAATTAGCAATGCAAGCCTGATCTGCAAGCCAGTCCGCCACTTTGTTGCATTCTCTAAATATGTGGGTAAGTTGAAAATCCATGCCACTAATAATAGTTTTAATTCGAGTAAGGGCATTTTGAAAGCTCCATCAGTCAACCGGAGTGCAGGATTTGGAGATAAGATGAATACATGTTTTAGAGTCTGTTTCCAACCAGATAGGCGTGAGATTACGATCCTTTGCAATCTCCAGCCCACGAAGAATAGCTTGCAACTCTGTTTGCGTATTAGTAGTTTGATGGAGGAATTCCTTAAATCCCACCTTAATATTGCCATGGTGGTCACGTATAATTCCACCAGCTCCTGCCATTCCTGGATTCCCTTTTGCCGCGCCATCTGTATTCAGTTTAAACCACCCAGCCTGTGGCTTCTTCCAGACAACAATTTGTTGCACCGTTCCAGCTCGGGGGAGGAAGAAGGTTCATCTGAGTAGCAAGGAGAGTATCCCCTGTCCAGTGGCTATGTTTCCATTTTCCACAGCAATGTGTAGTCCTGATGTGGCTTTTAACTTTCGCAATAATCCTGTCACTAGAAAAATTAGTAGCCCTGTGTTTTGCGTCATTTCTTTCGCCCCAAATGAACCAAAGGATCAGCATTGGCAAAATGGTTCTGATATGCATGGTGTGGGATTTCGAGCAAGAGAGAATCCAATAAAGAAGCAGTTGACGAATAGAAGTAGTGTTTGTGGGTGAGGTGGTGAAAATAGTGTAAAAATACCTCCAAACCATAGATGATTGCACCCCGGTCAGGAACAGATTCTCTATGGACTCCACCCCCTTACAACACTGGCATTTCGAGGCAAGACTGATACCAAGTTTATGAAGATAGACATCAAGGGGAATTTTGTTTAAAAGGAGACGCCAAAGGAAGACCGACATAGTTGGAGTGAGGAAAGGATTCCAAATTTTCTTAAAGAGGAGACTTCTAGGAGCAGTACAACGAATGGAATTCCAAACAGAGCTGATCGAAAATTGGCCAGAATTGGAATCTTTCCAGATGACAGTATCTTTAGTAGAGGACTCAAGAGGGACTCCGACAATCATGTCAACAACGTGGGTAGGAAGAGTATCATAAAGCAAATGGTGATTCCATTGGCGGTTGTTCCAATAATTACTCACTTTAACAAAATGGTGATGACCTCCAACCATGTCTGCTATCGGTTTGTCCCCACACCAATGGTTGTGCCAAAAGGAGCAAGCACCATTTCCAAGAACCCAGAACATCCTTTTCTGCACCTCATTCCGGACCGCACACATGCGCTTCTAGACCGCACTGTCGTGAACCTTGACCCGACAGTTACCAAAAAAGAATCCTTTATAATACTTTTGTTCCATAGCATTCGCCCATAAGGAGGATCGCTGTCTCAACCGCCCCACAACTTGTATGAAAACGCCAGAATGACATCCTTCATTCTTCTTAACCCGAGCCCACCGTCCTCTTTAGGTTTACAGATATTAATCCAAGAAACCCAATGCCTTCGCCTGTTCCCATTGTACGAACCCCAAAAGAAATGAGCAAACAGTTGTTCCAGGACATGAATAGTAGCGTTTGGGGGCTGTAAAATTTGGAACATAAAACAGGCATAGAGGAGAGGACACTCTTGATTAGTTCCAATCTGCCCCCTTGTGAAAGAACATCAGAATTCCAACCTTGAAGTTTCCTTCTGATCTTCCCCAGAAGGTTCCCATAAAGAATAGATCTTATGTTTCCAACAAAAAGAGGGGCTCCGAGGTAGGGTTTGGGGTTTGGGGTTTGGGGTTTGGGGTTTAGGGTTTAGGGTTTAGGGTTTAGGGTTTTTTTTTTTTTTGGCTGGGCTCAAAGAGCTGCCTACTTACCCAAACGGGATCAAGCCATACGTAGTTCTGCAAAGTTCGGTACAAGTGCTGGAAAAGGAAATAAATAAAAATTTTAAAAAATAAAAGCTAACGGAAGCGAAAGCACGGGAGGCCCGCCGCGTCAGCATGGATGAGGCCACGAGTCCTTGCAGGGATGTCCGCCGGCTCCAGGATCAGCGTGTGAGGAAGGGCAACAGAGGTGTTCGCCAAGTTGTCCGCCACTTTATTGGCCTCGCGATAAATATGAGAGATCCTCCACTCGATGCTGCGAAGCTGTAGGCGCAGATGGTGGAGACAAGGCTGGAGAGTCTAGTGTCCCGTCGAGGAGGAGATGAGAGAGATACTGCTGGTAGAGTCCGTCTCGATCCAGAGAGGGAGGAGGCCGCGCGCTACCGCCAGGTCCACGCCGGATCGAATCGCCTGCAATTCAGCCAAAGTGTTTGTCGTATCCAAAAGGGGAACTTGGAATGCCACGAGTGGAGCGCCGGTGGCATCCCGAATGACGCCCGCGGCTCCAGCAGCGCCTGGATTCCCGAGCGATGCCCCATCAGTATTAAGTTTGAACCAGCCTGGAGACGGAGCTTCCCAATGCACCATGACCGGCGGCCGAAGAACCGGAGGTGGGAGGCGAAGGCCGAGACTAGAGGCTAGGTGCACCTCCCCAGGCCAGTGCTGACGCTGAAGGATGCCAGCACGGCCTAAGACCTGCAAATGAGAGTGAATACGCCAAATAATCCGGTCAGATGAAATCTGGATACCTCGGTGTTTGGCGTCATTCCGTGCCGTCCAAAGAAACCAGAAGGCCAGAAGTGGGACATAAGTACTGATACTCCGCGCATGAGGGGAGGACAAACGCCAAGCAGAAACTATCAGGTGGGGCGTATGTGTCCACGGGAGTTGGATGCGAAATAGGTCGGCGAGATGGCGGCACACGCGCTGGGCAACCGCCGACGAGAAGAATAAGTGCTCAAACGTCTCGGATTCACGGCAGCACTGGCAGCGAGAAACAATAGGGAGACCCAGCCTCCAAAGTGCCTCATCAACGGGTATCCGTCGGCGAAATAGACGCCATAGGAAAACCGACATCGTAGGCGTAAGGAGGGGCGACCAAAGGCTGCAGGAAAGCCAGCTCCGAGCCCCCACTGTCCGGCTCATCTCCCAGGCTGAAGTAGTAGTAAAAATACCTGTGTCCGAAGCCTTCCATATCGGCTGGTCAGCATTCAGAAGATCGAAGGGAATCGCAGAGACCTGGTGAACAAGGGGTGTCGGGAGATAGGCCCGGAGACGCAATAAATCCCATGAACCGTGTAGCCACATCTCGTGCACCCGGATCGGCGGGGGACGGTCCTGACGGTACGTGTAGAAAGGGCGGTCCCCACACCAAGTATCATACCAGAAGAAACAGTCCCCACGCCCCAAATTCCAAATGATCTGCGTTTGCGCCTCATCTCGAATCCGGCAAAGACGCTTCCAAACCGGACTGTCGTAGGTCTGGCAGGGGGCGAAGCCCGGGAAGGAGCTGCGGAAATATTTATGCTGAAGCGCGCGAGCCCAAAGAGAGGAACCGTCTCTGAGGCGCCACCACAATTTAAGCGAGAAGGCTCGAACCATATCGGACAATCGGCGAATTCCAAGCCCGCCCTCGTCCTGGGGCCTCGCCGCATCCATCCAGGAAATCCAATGGCGGCGACGGTGACCATAATAAGAGCCCCAGAAAAAACGAGCAAAGAGCTGCTCCACTGAGTGTAGGACAGCCTGAGGGGGGTTAAGGACTTGTAGTAGGTAAAGGGGAAGCGAGAAGAGCGTGCTTCTGATCAATTGCAAGCGACCCCCATGAGAGAGAACGGAGCGGTCCCAACGCTGCAGATATCGCCGCAGTTTCCCAAGGAGGTCTTCATAGAGGATATTACGCCGATTGCCCACATAGAGCGGGGCGCCAAGGTACATAAAGGGGAGTCCAGCCCTGCCGAAACCAGTCACTGATTGAAGCTGTCGCTGGACTCTCTCCGGGCATCGGCGGCTAAAGACCAGCTGACTTTTCTGACAGTTCACCATCTGACCAGTAATCCGCGCATAAGTTGTCAGAAAATCTGTCAGGAGGCTGATTCGATCACCACAAGTATTGGAAAATATGAGAACATCATCCGCATAGGCTAGGTGCGTCAAACGGAACCGACCACGACACCGATAGTACAGGTCCGGGTACCGATTGTATAGGCGCTCCAAACCGCGAGATAAGAGATCTACAGCCAAAACAAAGAGGGTCGGGGACAGGGGGTCTCCCTGCCTGAGGCCTCGCGAGGAGGGGAAGAAACCGCCCAAGTCCCCATTCACAAGAATCGAGTACCAAGCATGCTCAACACAATTCATGATCAAGGTGATGAAATGAGGCGGAAAACCGAACCTGGTAAGGGCATGTCGCAAGAACCGCCACGATACCCGATCGTATGCCTTATTCAAATCCAGTTTCAGCAGCAAATTGTGCGAGTCCCCCTTCAGATTGAGATCATGTACCATTTCCGATGCCAGCAAAATATTGTCTGCGATTGCCCGACCTTTGACAAAACCACTCTGATGTGGCGACATAAGCTGCGGCAGTAACGGACCAAGTCGCACAGTGAGTAGCTTCGTGAAGATCTTAGAACTCACATTACAGAGGCTGATAGGCCGAAAATCAGCCCAAGCGACTGGCCCGTCCGTCTTGGGGATAAGCACAAGTGTCGTTGCCGTATAGAACTTCAGGAGAGGAGCTCCCGAGAAGAAATCCTGAACAACATCGAAAACATCCTCGTGAATAATATCCCAACACGTTTGATAGAAAGCGGCAGAAAAGCCATCGGGGCCAGCCACACTATCCTTGTCAATCGAGAAAACCACAGCATGAACCTCCGCAAGTGTTGGTGGCTCCAGCAACCGAGCACACTCAGCCAACGGAACCTGAGGCGGTGGGTCCGCCAATGCATCCATCCCCGATGTGTCTGCATCATCAGGCTGCCCAAACATCTCGGAGAAGTAGGTAATAGATGACTGCTTAATGGCTGAGTGATCAGTGAGGGTACGAGCACCGTCCCTCATCGAGAAAATCGTAGCCCGCCGACGCCGTTCCTTCACCATGGAGTGGAACATACGTGAGGGTTTAGGGTTTAGGGTTTCGGGTTTGGGGTTTGGGGTTTGGGGTTGGGGTTTGGGGTTTGGGGTTTAGGGTTTAGGGTTTAGGGTTTAGGGTTTAGGGTTTTGGGTTTTGGGTTTTAGGGGTTTAGGGTTTAGGGTTTAGGGTTTAGGGTTTAGGGTTTAGGGTTTAGAGGTTAGGGGTTAGGGTTTAGGGTTTAGGGTTTAGGGTTTAGGGTTTAGGGTTTAGGGTTTTTTTTTTTTTTTGGTTTAGGGTTTAGGGTTTAGGGTTTAGGGGTTAGGGGTTAGGGTTTAGGGTTTAGGGTTTAGGGTTTAGGGTTTAGGGTTTAGGGTTTTTTTTTTTTGGCTGGGCTCAAAGAGCTGCCTACGTACCCCAATGGGATCAAGCCATACGTAGTTCTGCAAGTTTCGGTACAAGTGCTGGGAATGTAAATAAAGATTGTAAGCAAATAAAAGCTAACGGAAGCGAAAGCACGGGAGGCCCGCCCCGTCAGCATGGATGAGGCCACGGGTCCTCGCAGGGATGTCCGCCGGCTCAAGGATCCGCATGTGAGGAAGGGCAACAGAGGTGTTCGCCAAGTTGTCCGCCACTTTATTGCCCTCGCGGAAAATATGAGAGATCCTCCACTCGATGTTGCGAAGCTGTAGGCGCAGGTGGTGGAGACAAGGCTGGAGAGTCCAGTGTCCCGTCGAGGAGGAGATGAGAGAGATACTGCTGGCCGAGTCCGTCTCGATCCAGAGAGGGAGGAGGCCGCGTGCAACCGCCAGGTCCACTCCAGATCGAATCGCCTGCAGTTCGGCCAAAGTGTTCGTCGTATTCAAAAGGGGAACTTGGAATGCCACAAGTGGGGCGCCGGTGGCATCCCGAATGACGCCCGCGGCTCCAGCGGCGCCTGGATTCCCGAGCGATGCCCCATCGGTATTGAGTTTGAACCATCCTGGAGACGGAGCTTCCCAACGCACCATGACCGGCGGCCGAAGAACCGGAGGTGGGAGGCGAAGGCCGAGACTAGAGGCTAAGTGCACCTCCCCAGGCCAGTGTTGACGCTGAAGGAGGCCAGCACGGCCCAAGACCTGCAAATGAGAGTGAATACGCCAAATAATCCGGTCAGATGAAATCTGGATACCTCGGTGTTTGGCGTCATTCCGTGCCGTCCAGAGAAACCAGAAGGCCAAAAGTGGGATATAAGTACGGATACTCCGCGCATGTGGGGAGGACAGACGCCAAGCAGAAACCATCAGGTGGGGCGCATGTGTCCGCGGGATTTGGATACGAAATAGGTCGGCAAGAT